AAAGAGTTGCTGTTTCAACGAGGTGTAGTAACCCCTATTGTGAATCTTGTCCGGGAGAGCTAGAAACCACGAAACACAAGCTGTTCCGTTGCCAACATGTCACGGATATCTACGAAGAAAATTATTGCATCACGATTCTAGGTCAGCCAGATTAGAACCGGAGGAATGGAGTTATCCATACTTGCGAAACAGTAATGAAACAACTAAACTCTGTATAATTAAATTATTAGGTCTTTACTTTAGCTAACTCAATAGGATTGGACAATTTTGTATTTTATCTAGATATTAACAACTAAGCAGCGGTTCCGGAAGCAGCAACGAACGTGGCAGGAGCATTTCAGTGCTTCATCGTCGTCGCGTAGTGCAGTGAGTGAAAAAAGTGCCACTGAGTCCCTGTTGGAAGTGCGGATCGATGCACTACACAAGGGACTGTGAGTACAAAGACCATAAGTGCACGAAATGTAAACAATATGGATATAACGAAGGTTACTGTGAAAGTGATCGTCCAAGTCCAAGTCGCTGTGAACAATGTACGAGGGTTAAGAAAGTTTGTTCCGGTGTTTCGGTTCAACTCCCGTTCGACTCAGCCTTGGACATCACCGTCGTATCATCCGAGACTTGGAAGCAGCTAGGAAAACCACCAACCAGATCACCGTCAGTGAACCCGAAAACCGAATCGGGCGATCCTCTGAAGCTACTATCGGAGTTCGATTGCTCGATCACCGTCAACGACGTAACGCAAGTGGGAACGGTCTACGTCGTCGCGCAAGATCTGCACATACTGGGTCTGGATTTGGTGGAAGCATTCCAGCTCAACTCCGTTCCGATGAACGTCTTCTGTCGACAGGTCAGCAATTCCTCTTCATCCATCGTAGAGCGGCTCAAGGCTGCCTGGAAGTATTTAGCATCAACCTCGGACGGTGTACCAAAGCAACGGTGTAGCTCGACCTCAAGCCAGGACAAAGGTCAGTGTTTCGTCCAAAACGTCCCGTGGCCCACGCTATGTACCAGGCTGTCGATGATGAGCTTGACCGTCTCGAGCGCTTGCGGATCATCACGCCAATCGACTATTCGGAGTGGGCTGCTCCAGTTGTGGTGGTTCGAAAGGCAAACGGCAGTATTCGGATTTGCAGTGATTATTCCAGGGCTTGAACGATGCTCTCAAGGTATTCAGCATCATCGACATGTCAGAATCGTACCTGCAGCTTGAAGTCGACGAATCATCGAGTAAGCTCCTCGCAATCAACACCTACTGGGGCATCTACAAAGTCAACCGTTTCAGCAACTCGTTGACACCATATTGGCGGGTCTCAAGCACAATTGCGGTTACATCGATGACATCGTAGTCGGCGGAGAAGATGAGGAACAGCATTGGCGGAACTTGAACGCACTTTTCCAGCGTCTGTAAAAGTTCGGGTTCACAGTGCTCCTTTGGACGTCAGCAGATTAAATATCTTGGACACTTACTCGATCACCATGGAGTTCGTCCCGATTCAGCCAAGATCGAAGTCATCAAGCTCATGCCGGCACCCACGGATGTGTCCGGAGTTCGGTCGTTTCTCGGAGCCGTAAACGTCTACGGGAAATTCGTACCGAACATGCAAGCTGTGCGCTACCCACTGGACGAATTGCTGAAGACGGGAGTCAAATTCGCTTGGACAGTGGAGTGTCAGAGGGCGTTCAAAACCATCTTGTCGTCGGACTTGCTCCTGACCCATTACAATCCCAAGCAAGAAATCATCGTTTCGACCGATGCGTCATCAATCGGTCTGGGAGCGAGCATCAGTCACTATTTTCCCGATAATACTGTTGGAGATGGAGCTAACATGCATTTATTTAAATATCTACCTAAACGCACCACACAACACCCTACAGTGTAAATCTCTCTGTAAAGAGTGGATAGAGCGCGCATGCGCAATCAGCCTCCGTCCACCGATCACTGACCGTTAACCAAAACGATCGATGCAAACCCACTCCCTATGTAAAAATTGTATATAGATTAGTAGTCATTAACAAACGAATTGAAACAGACGTGCGGTCGATAGTTCTGTGCTTCACTTTCTTATCACGGTCTGGGTACTTAACGTTCGACGTGCAACTTTGCGGGACTTTGTCATTTGTGCGGTGGTACTTAATTAGTGTAGCTTCAGTCGGACCTTAGTGAAAAGGTCGACGAGCTTCTCAAGTGGCCTACATCTGAAGAAATAGTGGTGTTTCCTGGACGAAAAAGGCTTGTGGCGACCCAAGCCGCCGGTCAGTAATTCGGTTCATGCAAACCGGACTTTGTACGTTTTTCGGTGGCTGCTAAACAGCAGCAAAGTAAGACCTTCGGTGGCCGGCATAGTTCTTGCTCGAACAAATACAATCAAAGTCGTCCAGCATGCTTCGAGAGCCACCAGCCACACCACCAGGCACCAGCTGAGCGCAACTACAGCCAAACGGATCGTGAGGGCTTGGCCATCATATATGCGGTAACCAAGTTCCACCGCATGATATTCGGACGCAAGTTCCTCCTCCAAACCGACCATCAACCACTAATTCGAATCTTCGGTAGCAAGAAGGGCATTCCAGTGACGCTGTTGACTTTGTCATATAGCACGTGGCCACGGACAAATTTGGTCACGCTGAAATCCTTTCTCGTCTCATCAACCACCATGCGAAACCCGACGAAGACATCGTGATCGCTTCTGTCACCTTAGAGAGTGACATGAGGTCAGTAGTGTGTGATTCATTTAATGTGTTTCCTTTGAGTTTTGACACAGTACAACAAAGCACCAAGACGGATCCGGTGCTCAAGAAGGTCTACCGGTACGTCCAGGAAGGCTGGTCAAATTCCCTGGCCAGCGACGCAAATCGAGAACTTATTCGTTTCCATCATCGCCGTGAATCGCTAACCACGGTGCAGTGCTGCATTCTCTCCGGCGAAAGGCTTGTCATTCCGTCAAGCGATGCCTCGAAGAAATACAGCGGGGGCACCACGGTATTCAGGGGTTGAAGGCACTTTCCCGCAGTTACGCTCGACAACGAGATTGCCGATTACGTGAAAGCGTACTCACCACGCGCCTTGACAGCAAAGTCCCCTGCAGCAGCGACCCCTGTGCCCTGACCCAAGCCAACCTTGGCAGCGTGTCCACGTGGACTACATCGTTCCCATCGACGACGACTACTATCTGCTCGCCGTGGATTCGTTTTCGAAATGGCCGGAAGTCATCCGCACACGTCGCGTCACGGCTTCTGCAACGATCAACATCCTCCGAAGTATCTTCGCACGTCTGTGGATGCCGGAAACGTTGGTGTCAGACAACGGCACCCAATTCACAAGCTCGGAATTCGCTCAGTTCTGCAAGACGAATGGAATCGACCATGTAACAACTGCACCGTTTCACCCACAATCAAACGGCCAAGTAGAGCGATTTGTCGACACGTTCAAGCGAGCGATCAAGAAGCTTGAAGAGGAGAGAAGTTCGGCCGATGAAGCCTTGGATAGGTTCTAGCTGGACTACCGAAGCACACCTAACCCGTCAGCGCCGGAAGGTCTATCACCGTCGGAGATCATGTTCGGACGACGTTTACGTACCTGTCTCGAACTACTACGTTCATTGCCAGAACGTGCACCGCCGGAACCGTCGACCAGAAGAAGTCCAGGATGAGATCCTTTAGCCCAAGCGATCTCGTCTACGCCAAGATCTACACCAAGAACACCTGGAATTGGGTTCCTGACACGATTGTCGAAAGAGTAGGACGAGTGATGTATAATGTCTTGATCGATATTCGTCGATTAGTTCGATCGCACCTGAACCAGCAGAGAAGTCGAACGTTAACGATATGAACACGTCCAAAGTTGCAAAGGAAATTCGGCTTCGGCTTGTTTCGTTTAGCAACAACTAGGTGATGGCTGTGTTAGGAAAGACACCTTGTGGTCTAAACATATGTATGGGAAATTTTGATGCTAACAGTTTTAGTTAAATTTCTTAGCTGTTTAACTTTTTTCATTATTTGTACTATATGCCACAAAATTGCTGAATGAAGCCTCCGTCGAATGGCATATTGCATGACATATTTCACATTAATGCTTTGGAGAAATATGCGTTCAAAATCTTTCATAATTTCGTTACATGTTCCATTTTCGGGATTCACAAAGTGTATCCCCAAATAGAAATCACAGACGTAGTCCCATGTCAAAAAGTTAAAAATAAATCATTACATCATCTGCAAAGTCAGCTTATATCATTCGCTGCAGAGGATGATAGGAAATGCAACTAACATTCAAAGTATTACATTTTTGGCTTGCATCCTCGCTTTCCTCAAAAATCTGCTCGAGTATGAGGAAAATCGATGAAAATTTTACCCAGTCTAGGAGTATACTAATAGACTGAGTGAAACCTCTCTCGATTTTCCTCACATTCGAAAAGTTTCTTCTGGAAAATCGAGTATGAGTAACCTACCTTTTTGGGAATTAGAGTGAATAAAACTTAAATTTGAGTTGGTTTAAACGGCCGTGAAGGCAAGAATCTCGGAATCTTAAAAATGTTGGTGGTGCCAGGCAATGAGATGTTAACAGGTGAAGAAATTGTCGTCTCTTTTGATCCTCCACTGTTTAAATGGATGTTGGAATTTGACGTCACAATCCATTAAATAGCAGTAGAACTAGAGCAAATTCACAATGCCACGCCTGCTAACATCACATTCAATGGTCGAGCGTGTTTCGACGCGGACGGCAGAGCCGTACTCAGGATTTTGTGTTTGGTGATAAACTCTCTAACCTACAAATTTCTTACGTTGCTACGAAATCAGCTTTTCTGTTTGGAGTAAATTTGTTCCCATATCCGTGAACGGCAGCCGTGAACCATAGTTCACGGTCCACGCCTAGAAGGAAATGTACTCCGTGAACTGTACTAGAATAGTTCACGGCTCTCATTCACAAACATGGGAACGGATTGCTTTGCGCGTACGAAATGGCCCGAATATCAACATTTGAGGTACACACAGAGACTACTCACAGAAACAGTTGATACTTCAGCTGGTTGGTCCAGGTCTTGTTGAGTGAAACGCCTTCTTCCACCCAAAACACGGGTAAAATCACTTCCGGCAGTTGTCCCATTACTTCGTTATCCCGAATCGGTTCGATTTCCATGCTGAACTGCAATCGCTTGGCGGCTGAAACCGGCGTTCCCGAATGCTAGGATTCCGTTGATAAATAACGATCAACTCGACTGAAGGCAAATACTATGCGTGCTTGCTTACCAATTGGAAGTGAATGAACATGTCGTGGTCCTTCTCGTTGGGTGCCAGTCCATCGACGTCGGCTAGCAGCTTTGGATCTCCATCGTAAAAGTGCGGCTTCGAACCGATGAACGGAGCTCCCAAGCAAGGACTCAAGTCCATCGTTCCCTTTGGTGGACAATCGTCCGGTGGATCACGACAGAAGCAGTGAAGTTCAGGAGTATTCTGAAATTATGGAATGTTTCTGGCTCTAAACGAATTTCCATACACACAGCTGACAACTCACCTTCAGATCTCCAAAATCCAGCTTGTAGAAACTCATCGGCAACCCCGCATACTTGGACTTTCCGACGTAATGAGCTCCTAACGAGCGACAAATTTCCGGTGACCAAGCCCACAACTTGTCCTGCGTCGTCATAAACGGTGGAAAGATGGTCGAATCCGTTCCGATGTACCGATTGCATTCATCACCGTCGTAGACATCCATTTCGGGTTCGTCGTTGTAGCTGACGACACGTCCAAGGTCCATAATGTTCTTAACTCCTCGGTAGACCACCCATCGACCTGCTTCCGATCCGTTTCTCTGAAGTTGTACGTGATCAATTCAACGGAAGCCACAACAATCTCCTTCCCTACTTACCACGCCAAACAAAGAAAACTTGAAGTGAGTCTCGTTGTACGGTATAACGACTCCTTCCGACTCCAATCCGGAACAGAGTGCCTTGGCCGAAAAGTCATGACTACTGCAGTCGATCATTATCCCATCAAAAAGCAAGTCCATGACTCGTGTCGTCAAAAATCCCGTACTCAGTGGATTCATTATGATGTTCATGCCCTTGGAAACCAGAGGCATCATGGCTTCCCGCTCCCGCTGGACCATCAAGAGCGCTCCCATGACCACCGGATGCGGTAAGGTAATCATTTCGTCGCCCGTGAGCGGAAGCGACAGGTCCGGACGAAAGATCCAGGTGTTCTTCAGCGTGAAGGTCAAAGTGTCGTCCTCCAAGTTGTCTACGGTGTCGTATTTCTCCTTCCACTCTCTTCCGGTTGGTCGGAATTTCAGAATTGTAAAATGAATCAAGTGCATTGATTTAGAATTGATACTCACTCGAAATGGTATGGTCCTATTTCCTGGACATGGGGTTTGCCGCCCTGCATGACGTCGTCCGGATTGGTCACGTGGAACAGGTACACCTTGAAGTCGAGGGGAAAGGGCATTTTTTCGAACATCCACCGCATCTGCGTGCCCGGCTTCAGTAGGACATTCTGAAATCAAAGCACAGGAAATCAAAAGGGGGTGAGCTCAAATTTTCCAACGAGATAAAGGTGCTTTTGTAGATCAAGGACTTTGTAATTACACGTGAATTTGTACAGTTCAAGATATTGAAAATATTGAGAAAACACTGAGATCTCAAAAACTCTTTAAATAACTACGGGATCAGGAAGAATATTTCAAGTGCATCATCTTGATTTAGTGTTTTAAAAAATAGTTTCCAGTCCAACAATAAAATTCCAAGCATCAATATCATCGGAGAAAATATATTAAACGAATGCTATCTGCAAGGGACTTTTTGATTGTTTTTCAATGCCAGCTAAATGTAGACAAAGTTTGACTAAACTGCCAAAAATGGTTGTAGCACGTTTGGTTTAATGCCGTTTGGCATAAAACCGTCTGGCCTGGTGATGTATCATTAGGCCGAAATTTTTATAGTGGTTCACTTTTCGTCATAGGACATCTGCGTTCTTCTTATTTGAGCACATACTTGATGGAATTACAAATCTCGGAAACTACATTAACGTCACACTTTGTAAATGCAATTTGCAATGCAACATTGCAGGTACATTTTTATTTTCTTAGTATTGGAGCTGATATTTGTGCTCTTATTTTTTTTAAGTGAAAAAGAGATTCATCAGGTTTAAGACCAAACATTTCTTGACACAAAAGCACCGTTAAGATGTAAAGTTTAGTTAATATAAAAAGGGAATAAGGCCTTAGCAGACTACCTTAAGAAATAAGCCGGAGCAAATAAAGAAAAATAAATTATGTTGATGCATTGTTCATCCAAAATGTTACAAACCATTTCGACAATAAGCCCCAAAAGAATAGGTCATGTTTCAAAGAACGAAAAAATCTACTATGAATAATCTGAAGCTAGTAATGTCATGAGATGAAAGTTTTTAAACATAAAAGATGCTTTAAAGAAATAAAAATCAGCTATGAAAATTCAAAGGCTTCCTCATCTAAAAACGTTCCTATTTGCGATATCCCTCGAATATTTACAATGATCTTAACTTTCTTCTAATGTTGACAATATTGGATTCCAAATTGAAAATCTTCAAATTAGAAAATAAGTTTAATTAACTCAGCATAAGATTGTTAAAATTATTCAGATATTGAATAATGAAATATATTCTTAAATTTGTGATTTATATATATTTTTTTAAAAGATTTTTGATCTTTTTTTTTATATAATTCAAGTTTGAAAAGACAAAAAGAATTAAAATTAAGATAGGGCTAATTAGGGAACCTCTTGAGTCTAAAACTGATTCACTTACCCTACTCTAGTTAAATCTTTTACTTTTTAAAGTTCGTCCTAATTTCTTTGACATAATGACCCATTTGACATAATGGGCAAAATCAAGAACAGTAAAACTCGAAAGCACTGCTCACGTTTAAGTGAGTTGGAATTTTAACCAAAAACAAAAAGTCTGTATCTATTAAAGAATTTGCAGTTATAAAATGTCAACACAGGCGCCACATTTTATTTTTCATGAAAACGACGTATCGACATTCAGCCGAGATATTTAAAAAAAATTCAAAAAATTTAAGATATTAAAAAAATTAAGCTCACTTAACCTTCCTCATGCATTCGGGAAAAGTTACACATTGTGCATTAGCGGGTCAAATAGACCCAAACAGCGACTGGCGCCGTTTTTCTGACTCCGAAACTCCGACTACGACTCTCTGACTCCGAATCTCCGACTCCAACTCTCAGACTCCGACTCTCAGACTCCGACTTTCTGACTTCGACTCTCTGACTTCAACTCACCGACTCCGACTATCCAACTCTGACTTTCCGACTTTGGCTATCCAACTCCAACTTTCCGACTCCGACTCTCTGACTCCAACTATCCTACTCCGACTCCGACTCTCCGACTCCGACTCTCCGATTGTTACTATCCGACTCCTACTCTCCAACTCCTACTCTCCAACTACGATTCTCTGACTCCGACTCTCCAACTCTGATTTTCCTACTCCGACTCTCCGACTCCAACTCTCCTACTCCGACTCTCCGATTCCGACTCTCCGACTCGGACTCTCCGACTCCGACTCGGACTCTCCGACTCCGACTCTCCGACTCCGACTCTCCGACTCCGGCTCTCCGACTCCGATTCTCCGATTCCGACTCTCCGACTCCAACTCTCCGACTCCGACTCCGACTCTCCGACTCCGACTCTCCGACTCCGACTCTCCGACTCCGACTCTCCGACTCTGACTCTCCGACTCCAACTCTCCGACTCCGACTCTCCGACTCCGACTCTCCGACTCCGACTCTCCGACTCCGACTCTCCGACTCCGGCTCTCCGACTCCGATTCTCCGATTCCAACTCTCCGACTCCAACTCTCCGACTCCGACTCCGACTCTCCGACTCCGACTCTCCGACTCCGACTCTCCGACTCCGACTCTCCGACTCCGACTCTCCGACTCCGACTCTCCGACTCCGACTCTCCGACTCCGACTCTCCGACTCCGACTCTGCGACTCCGAATCTCCGACTCCAACTCTCCGACTCCGACTCCGACTCTCCGACTCCAACTCTCCGACTCCGACTCTCCGACTCCGACTCTCCGACTCCGACTCTCCGACTCCGACTCTTCGACTCCGACTCTTCGACTCTGACTCTCCGACTCTGCGATTCCGACTTTCCGACTTTCCGACTCCGACTCCTACTCTCCGACTCTGACTGTGACTCAGACTCCACCGCCGACTCTCCAACTCCGACTCTCCAACTCCGACTCCCTGACTCCGACTCTCTGACTCCGACTCTCCGACTCCGACCTTCTGACTCCGACTCTCCGACTTCGACTCTCCGACTCCGACTCTCCGCCTCTGACTCTCCGATTCCGACTTTTCCACTCCAACTCCGACTCTCCGACTTCGACTCTCCGACTCCGACTCTCCGCCTCTGACTCTCCGATTCCGAATTTTCCACTCAACCTCCGACTCTCCGATTCTGACTTTCCGATTTCGACTCCGACTCTTCGACTCCAACTCCGACTCTCCGACTCCAACTCTCCTACTCTCTGACTCCGACTATCCATCTTCGACTTTCCGACTCCTACTCTCCGACTCCTCGACTCCACTGCTCTGTTTTAAACATAAAGTTTTGAGTCTTTATGTTAAAATATAGGATTAAAAACTAGTCCTAAGTCAGAAGCTAGCAAAGTACATTTTAGGTAATTTCCAAGCAGAATATTGTCATCTTCGGCAAATTATTTTAACCTTCCTAGTGCATTAGGGTCGTTTTGACCCGGCGTCACTTTAAAAAAGCTGTAACTTTGTAACGAAATATGATAGAGACCTGCAATTTCCTCACTTTTCCTAACTTTCGAAAACGAACATTTTGCTGTTAAAAGAAGCTTCCAGCAATCTCTAGGGTCATTAGGGTCTAAAAAGACCCAGACAGCAACTCGCTCCCAAAAATCCATTTTCAATCTTGATCTATTGGCCTCAAATCAAAGATGAAGGTTCTTAGAATGGCACCCTGCCCAGGATTTTTTTCTAATTTGGGAATTTAGGCTACCTGGCACCGGTTCCGATAGGGCACAAAAGGACACTTCCAAAACCACATCTAAAGGGTGATACGGTCAAAATTTGGTCAATATCAACTTGACGTATTTCTTTCAATTTTGCATTTAAAAAACCTGAACACCCCTCATTTTGAAGGTGTGTGTGTGTAGAATGTTGCTCCTATTTTGATTTTGGAATTCACTCTTCAGTTGTCAAAATGCCGTCCAAGCAAGAAGAGCAGCGTATCAAAATTTTGCTCGCGCATCGCGAAAATCCGAGCTACTCGCACGCAAAGTTGGCAAAATCGCTAAAAGTTGCCAAATCAACCGTTACAAATGTAATTAAAGTGTTTGGGGAACGTTTGTCGACAGCCAGGAAGTCTGGATCGGGGGGAAATCGAAAACCGGAAGCCGCTGAGACGACAAAGAGAGTTGCCGGTAGTTTCAAGCGAAACCCTAGCCTCTCTCTCCGAGATGCCGCAAATAAGCTGGGTGTATCGTCTACAACCGTGCATCGAGCCAAAACACGAGCCGGACTATCGACTTACAAGAAGGTAGTGACTCCAAATCGCGATGATAAACAAAATACGACGGCCAAAGCGCGATCCCGGAGGCTGTACACGACGATGCTGACGAAGTTTGACTGCGTGGTAATGGACCACGAAACCTACGTCAAAGCCGACTACAAGCAGCTTCCGGGACAGGAGTTTTATACGGCAAAAGGAAGGGGAAAGCAGATGTTTTCAAGCACATGAAACTGTCAAAGTTCGCAAAGAAATATCTGGTTTGGCAAGCCATCTGTACCTGTGGCTTGAAAAGCAGCATTTTCATAGCTTCCGTGACTGTCAACCAAGAAATTTACGTGAAAGAGTGTTTGAATAAACGTCTGCTGCCTTTCCTGAAGAAACACGGTTGTTCCGTACTGTTTTGGCCGGATTTGGCATCTTGCCATTACGGTAAAAAGGCCATGGAGCGGTACGCCGCCAACAACGTGCAGGTGGTTCCCAAGGACAAGAACCCTCCAAACACGCCAGAGCTCCGCCCAATTGAGAAATACTGGGCTATTGTCAAGCGGAACCTAAAGAAGACCAAAAAACTGCTAAGGGCGAGCAGCAGTTCAAGGCAAACTGGCTTTCTGCGGCGAAGAAGGTGGACAAGGTGGCTGTACAAAATCTGATGGCAGGGGTCAAGCGTAAGGCCCGGCAATTCGGATTTGGAAAAGCGGAAGCCTAACTGAATATTTTTCCTGAATTTTATACTAATTGAACTTGAAAAAGAAATTTAATTTGATTTTTTAAATAAACGATTTCACCGATTTACACGCGTTTTCCCTTGACCAAATTTTGACCGTATCACCCTTTAATCCGCAACAAATATATTAGAAATTATGTTGATGCATTGTTCATGCAAAATGTTACAAACCATTACGACAATAATCCCCAAAAGAATAGGTCATGTTTCAAAGAACGAAAAAA